AATTTATTGCCAAAGGATTCTCACTGCACAGCAGAGAGTACAGCAGCCTCAAAAAAAAAAAAAAAAAAAAAATACTCTTCCCTAAACAGTGTCTTTTACAGCCTCTCAAAGAAACAATGCTGAATTAAATGGTCTGACAGCCTGAGCTAGTACAGATTTATTTCTTTCATGTTCTTTAGCAGATCACCATACTGACCAGCAAAGACTTATAAGTGTACTAAGGTTTTTGAGTGAAGGCTCCTTAGGCAGATGATCTGTGTATTAAACCAACTAACTCTCACTAACTGCAGATTACTGTTTTCCCTAGTGAATGATCATTCCCAAGCAATTTTCTGAGACATTCTAACAGTTCTATTGCTAAACAAGTGACACGCCAACTAAACACTACCTTGTATTAATTTTTTTATTAATACTACCTTGTATTATTTTTTATTAATTATTTTTTGTATTTTTTTAATTAATTAAGACAAATTGTCTCACACAGGAACTACTCGGCAGTCCTTTGCTCAAGTGAATTACATTTATTAAAAGAAGGGTTGTTCAGCCTCTTGGAATGGCAAATCCAGACAGACTTGAAGGTATATAAATAAACTTTGTTCAGTGATCTTGCAGTAGTTGAAAAATCATTGCTTATGTCAGAGTGACTAAAAAGAGATATAACTAACTGATTTTGCACCATGTGCTTGCATTTGCAATGAAGTCAACACATCTCAAGAGAGCTATTTATTCCCTCTAGAAATGTAACAATTTGAATTTGGGCAAATGGAAGTCTGTTCTTCTGACAACCTACATGAAACAGGAATAAATATTGCACTCTCTTGGTGTTACAATTCAGTATTTTCTGAAATTGCTCCATTGTCCATTTATGGAGACTTAGCAGATTTAGTTTTTTTGAGAACGAACTTTGAGATCAGTCCATTTATAGATAGGAAAACAAGGGTGCAGCAATATATCTTATTGCTGCTTACATAAATATAAAAGTATACCTGGTAAATTCATAAGCAGCACATGCTAAAAAGAGTATACTGTGCTCTGGTGAAGTGATTAGTAATTTTGCTGCTATGATTTGTTGGTTGTTGTTTTTTTTTTTTTTTTCAATTTAATAAACAATTTCTTTGAAAGCAGATTTTAAAACCGTAAGCTGTATTTGAACAAAGCACAGCCTGGTGTACTCACTATACTCCACACAACTGAACACTGATAAGGAGTTTGCTCTCATCTTTACTAAATATCCTACTTTGTGACTAGATTAGCAACTACTGTGGTTTAAAATGCTTGAAGTCATGGCTACAGGAGTTCTTCCCATTTAGCTATTGCAAAAGACTCAAGATAGCGTGCAATAACCAGTTCTTGTCCTGTGCATACACACAGAGAAAAGTCATGCTTTTACCTAGCCAAAAAAACTTTCCTGCTTAAGCAAAATCTTGATAAATCTTGATAAATTAGTTTCACTGCATGAAAATGTTCATGGGGAATCTAGAAATGAGATACTTTGTATTTTTAACTAGCTGGCAGAAGTGAGGGAAAAAGTGTCAGGGTCTCCAACACTTCATACACACAATAGCTGCAAATAAGAATACAGTGGAAGGCTAGACATAGTTCAGAAAGGTACTTGCGTAACATGGATAACATGCAGGATTTAAATTAAATTAAATTAAATTAGAAAAATAAAACCACAACCAGAAGAAAACAAAAAACAAAAACACAAAAACAAACAAAAAGAGCACACACACACAGACACACACACACAAAACCAGACCAAAAAAAAAAAAAAAACAGGACCAAAGAGCAAGACAAACCAATCACTGATTAAAAAGATGAGGAAGAGTGGGTTACAGATCAGTGTGGTGTGTAAGTGAATAAAATCTAATCTTGCTTCGGAAACAACAAACAAACAGCGGCACAATATGCCACGTTCAGGAATGTGACAGCCATGTTGTAACTGGCACTTGAACAACAGAGAATTATTGCTGCTGATATGGAAATTGCAGAGGTACAGAAAAAAAGTGGGTGGATCATGTGAAATTCATGAAATACTTGAGGTGAAGTACAGCAGGATTAGTCTTTTTCTTTTAATTGTGTGCATTGATCCCTATGTGTAACTGGTTTAATAAAAAGCATATTGTTCATTCTCAAGTGGCTTACAAATCCACTTCATCTCTGTGTCATTTTTTGTTTGTAAGATATTTTGCAACATGCTTTTCCCCTTTGGCCTACGCAAGTATGCCTACATATGCATACCTATTAGAGTCAGACAAAAATCTGCCGTCTGTAGCTGGTCGTTCTTATAACAGAACTTCTGGTTGTTTTCCGCAGCACTTTAAGCCATCTGAAGCAGTCTTGTTCTGACCCAGATTCTGTGACATGAGCTAGGTTCACACTCGAAACATTTACCAATCTAGGCCTGATACTGTTGCCCAGTTCAAGGACACAAACAAGATTTCTGCCTAGTTTGAGCACAGAATGAAGGACTCACACAGCGAGCTGGATCTGTGTTGTAAGTAGGTCAGAGGACTGCCATCATGCCCTTGACCACTCTAAGAAATGTGCATTTCATGCAAAAGGTCAGGTTTATCTATGATACAGCTTTGCCCTGGCCTACACTTCTCACCCCTTCTTAAGACAGCATTGTATCAGCTAACTTCTGTTTTGCCATCATGATAAAGCACACTGATTTTCCTAGCATTGTAACTGCTGACGAGTCTTGTATTTCTGTTCAATGGGATTTGTATTTAATGAGATTGTTTACATGACCAAAAGTTGCTTGCAGGATCCAAGGCTGCATCGTGAATAATTTTATTAACTGAATGTAAATCAAGAACACACATCTGGATAACACAAACTTGTTTGCAGGGCTTTTTCAAGGCAACAGACAAAATAAAAGCAGAAAGTTATAGAGCTAACAGGCTGCCTGCCTTACCCATCCATACAGGGGAAAGAAAAACATGCTTTTTCAGAAAGAAACAGAGCAGTATAAAGATATAGAACACAATGTAAGAAGAACATAGAACTATTAGAAAGCATCCAAAGGAGGGATGTGAAGATGGTGAAGGGCACAGAATGCAAGACATATGAGGATTGGCTGAGGTCTTTTGGTTTATTCAATGCAGAGAAGAAGAAGCTGAGGGGAGGCCTCATGGTGGCTCCTGACAAAGGGAGTGGAAGGGTGGGCACCGATCTTTTCTCTTTGGTGACAGCAACAGAACTTGAGGGAATGGCATGGAGCTGCACTGGGGGTGTCAGGTTAGGGATTAACAAAAGATTCATCACCAGAGTGTAGTTGAGCCCTGGAACAGGATCCCCAGGGCAGTGGTCACAGCCCTGATCTGCCAGAGCTCAAAGAGCATTTGGACAATACTCTCAGACACAGAGTTTGAATTTTGTGTGGTTCTATGTGGAGAAAGGAGTTGGACTAAATGATCCTTGTAGGTACCTTTCAACTTGGATTATTCTATGATTCTGTAACAAAGCACAGAGACCCTTAGCCAACCATTAGTTTCTTTCTCCCTGGCTCTCATCTTTTTTTCAGACACATCCCACAGCTCCCATTCCACTGATAATTCATGAAATTTTCTCTTTCCTTGCCTACGTTGTTTCTCTTGCCCTTCCCCTTTGACAGGAACCTGCTGTACTTCTATGAATGAGCCTTTGCATGAGTTGGCTGGGGTGGATGTCCTCTGATGACTAACACGTCTGTGATGGCACCTGGCACCTACTGCTCTTTACACTTGCCCAGAACCATGCAAGTATAATTCAGATGAAAGGGGCAGGATAATTCAATGTAACACTTTTTAAACTTGGCTGGATCTGCCATAGCTTGATTCTCTGGAGTAGGTGGATTTTAGAGCAAATTAATTTGAGACATGTATCACAACGAATAGGCTGATTAAATTTTGCATTATATTTCATTATATAGTAAGGCTGTATAAGGATATATACCCTCTGTGAAACGTTGCCTGGCAAGTGGTCCAAATCTGAAACAAGAATAAATAATCTTGAACTCCTTGCTTCATGTGACCTGATGTTCTGTCACCTTACTTGGGAAGTATCATTGATGCTGATGCAATGTAGATTATCCCATTTTTCTCTCTTGACAACACAGCAAATCAAAATGATTTCTCAATGAATTTGGAACAATCTAGGTAACAACTTAAAGTGAGGGACTCAGAAACACTGCGAAGCTCCTTCATTGGGTATATACTTGTATCACATCCAGTATTTGGACGTGGGCAGGTCCCTAGAGATATAGCACAAAGCACCTATTTCAGAGTATCTAGAGTGCTAGTCTTTTGTTACTCTGAGGCTGCCAATATTAATTTATCTGGAAGAAATGGCATTTAAATTCACAAGTTGCTAGTTGTTCTTAAACTATTATATGAAAAAAATAGCAATTCAGAAAATTGACTACATGTTTACATAAATATCTACTAATTTTCCCCTTCTCATTCTTATATAAATAAATAAAAATATAATTGTATTATATAAATATAATTATAAGCTCCAGACTTTCTCAGACTTGAAGGCTTAACTGGTTTACAACAACAGTTTGAGGATCTGGGGGAGGAATGGTAATTATGGGATCAAAATTAGGAAGAACTGCCTATTTTGTGGAAGATATTGCCTACATTGTGGAAGTACAATACCTGGGGGGATTTCACCTACATCCGAAAAAACTGCATTTTAAATTAAAAAGAACACACTGTAGATTTTTTATTTTGAATGTTTAAATACTGTTAAATTTCAGTCAAGACTGATCCACAGGAAGAGGAATGAGCTCTGTGAAACAATAATATATACTGAAATCAAGCTACCTGGTTTTTAAACAGGTGGTCTTTTTGGTTTGTTTGTTTTTAAACTCTTGCCTCAGAACTTCCCTTGCAAATTTGGGACTGAGGGAAGGGAATCAATGAGTGATGTCAGTGAACTACATGAAATAGCTTTTGCCCTTTATGCTTCCACTGACTTGCATAACGAATCGTTCACGGTCAAACTGTGCTGTGTGGTTCTGCACGCAGCAGCAAATTTCTGTGATATTGTGCCCCTTTCCTGCAAGTTCTCTGACTGTTTTGCTGTTAGATTCAGATGCATCGTATGTTCAGGTTGTATTAATTCCTAAACATCTCCCTTTCTATAACATGGTGAGACTCTATGAGGGATCAACAGCATTTTCTATCTACTGGGGGATATATTTGGAAAAGAGCTAAATGATGTAGTAGGTAATTCAAGGGCAGTGAACCTATAGCAAGAAGAGCTTTCATCCTCACCAGGATTCAGTGAGATTTACAGCTATCTATTTCCAAATCGGACATCAGTTAGTTTTTTTCCATGACACATGGATGTTGTGTTGGTGCTCATGTTAGTTTTTTGTCTGGTTAGCATCATACATATCTCCAGAGGTTGATTTAAAGTGTTTAAATCAATCTTCTGCTAAGAATCACTGAAGCTTGGAGGTAAGTAACTAATTATTTATGCCATGATTAGACCCACCAGTGCTTACTTCACAGGATCAAGTGATGTCATGTTGCAGAATAACTCTGCCATCGGTTTGGCAGGTAATTTCAAAAAAAAAAAAAAAAAAAGAAACAAAACTGGGAGATTTGCATATGTTCATTATAGATTTTTTTGTTGTTGTTTTTACCATCTGTAGTTCTTCATGCAAATGAGTTATTTATTAACCAACTGCTACAATGTCAGGTATAAATATTAACCAAGGAAGCAATGAATCTGCAGAGTTCAACAGCTGCTTGCTAAATGTTCACTTTGCTTGCGTATATATAGTCTTTAGTTGTCTAGTGACTTGTTTTACTGATAGAAGAATCAGTCCCAGAGCACTGTAAACTTGCTTCACTGAAATCATTCCCTTCCCTCCACCTCCATTTTCTTAAACCTCCTTAAAATGTCTAGTTATGTCAAGGAGAAAAGTCCCTATTACTGAATTTGTATTGAGACCGCTATGGAAAATTCTCCCCGGATACTGTCAGAAATATTACTCAGAGTCCCTCAGATAGCTACAGCATTCTTAAATGGAATACAACTCACCCTTTTCCCCCTTAAATGTGTTCAGCAGACAGGTGGTGACCCAACTGGTGGCAAATTCCTAAGTATTTATATCCTTTAACTCTCAGATGATGTGAACAAGTAATAGGAAATGTAATGCACTGAGTATATGAGTAATGCTCCCATTAATCAATTGTCTAAAATAAACTGGATTATTAAATCTGTTTGTACCATACTGTAGCTATTTGCAGATAGACATACTGAAAGAACAAGCGTAATTCTTATCATCTCTGCTTGTAGTGGAGATTTAAGGACAGAATCTCTTACAAATTCACTCCTCTTCCACATTAGCTCAGGTCAGACACGAAAGAGATTCACAGATGTAGCTGGAAGTGTCTACTTTCTGCTTTCAGTACTTGGCTCCCGCTTGGGCATAATTTTCAACTGAGTATAGAAACTCCTGAAGAATTAGTTCTTTAGCTGCTATAAAATTGCAATCAGACTCAGCATTTCAGGATTTTAGAAATGAACTATAAATAAAACAAACAATTTTTGACTCTTTAGATTCAAGAAAGAATGATTGTTTCACTAGCAAAACTGGTGACTGACATCCTACATTTCAATTCAAAGAATTGAAGTGGAATTTCAGAGTTGAACCAGAGGTCTAGTCTATCTCATATAGTGATTTTCTTATGCCAGTTTTGGCAGCAGACTACTAATTTTAATGGATGCATTACGGAGCAACCAGGAATCTTAGGTGCCACTAAGCAAACTCTGGCAAATTTATCCACACTGCATCTATTTGGTGAACATTGCAGTCTAACACATGCATAATCTGGTCAGCACATCACAAGTCTAAATCCCTAACTGCCAGACACTTTGCAGCACTGTTGCATGTATGGTCCAAAACCTCCCTGAACTCAAATGAGGAGACTGTGGCCATGTTCCCATCAAAATACATTGAAATCACAGGAAGTGCTTACCTATTTAAAAGGATGTTTAAAGAGTAAAGTCTCAATCCACTTGAGCATACTTGCTTAAAACACTGAAAACAGGACGGGGCATTATTGATTAGTATGGAGTTGCACTAGCTTCTCCTTAAATGCAGGGAAAAAAAGAAGTTTTTGAATTCACAGTGCTGAAAAGCTGCGTACAATGGAGATAATTTAAAAAATTATAGGGCTCATTGGCATGGTAATAATACATGAAAGCCAAAGATAGCTTTGTTGCTTTGTCCTTATATATGTTTGACTTGTAGTGTTTATAATCTAGCTACAATACTATGGGAAGAAAGAAGAGATTGGTGCACTTGAGCTATTTTGCACCACTCCAGAATTGTTGAAGAACAATTAAATGAAAGTAAACATACCATTTACACCTATACCTATGTCATGTTAAGGGCAGCCATGGAAAGGGAGGGGTGCAAGTGAAAATACGGATCAAATACATTTTCACATTCATATTTTCATTTGTTACTAAGGATTTTTTTTGTTGATGACACTTAAGGATTTAATACCTTCATTCCTTCAGTTGCATACAACATTGATTCATTTTATTCCAGGGCCCTATCGTTGTGACAGGGCCTCTAAACGGATGTAAATGTAATTTGCTACCAAAATATTGCAAAGTACAACAATGACTTCAATTGGTCCAATAAAATCCCAATGCTATGCTGCATTGTGGCATGTCACAGAGAGACAAAGTAGAGATGGGATCTGACATTACGTTTTTAATGTCCACTGAAATCTGAGCTAATTAAAATACATTATGCATTCTCATATGACTACTGTGCAGACTATCTTCAACATGGATTTAACACATTGTATGTAAACTTTAACTGTGTGTGTTACTTCAGCAACTTCCACAGTATAAATTCCAATTTAATAACCTGGCTTTATACTTTTTTGGTTTAGCAGTAATGAGATCATAGAATCATGGAGTGGTTTCTGTTGGAAGGGACTTTTTAAGATCATCTAGTTCCAAGCCCCCTGCTATAGGCAAGGACACCTCTCTTTAGACCAGGTTGCTCAAAGCTCCATCCGGCCTGACCTCTAATGCTTCCAGGGAGGAAGTATTCAGAACCTCACTGGAAAATCTTTTCCAGTGTCTCACCACCCTCCCAGGAAATAATTTATTCCTAATTTCTAGTCTAAATATACTCTCTTCCAGTTTAAAGCCATTTCCTCTTGTTCTGTCTCTACCTGCCCTAATGACAAGTCCATCTCCAGCTTTTCTGGAGGCCCCCTTCAAGTGTTAGAAGGCCACTATCACCTAGGAGCCTTCTTTTCTCCAGGTTGAAGAGCCCCAGCTTTCTCAGCCAATCCTAACAGAGGAGGTGTTCCAGCCCTCTGATAATCTTCGTGGCCCTTCTCTGAACCTGCTTCAACAATTCCATGTCCTTCTTGTGTTGTAGGCTTCAGAGCTGGATGTGGTACTCCAAGTGGTGTCTCACAAGAGCAGATTAGAGAGGCAGAATCACCTTCATCGACATACTGGTCACACTTCTCTTGATGCAACCCAGGATATGGATGGCTCATGTTTAATCTCTTAACAGACATTCCCAAATTCTTCTCCTGAGGGCTGCTCTCAAGCCATTTTCCACCCCAACCCATATCTATGTTTGAGATTGCCTTGACCCAGGTGCAGGACCTTGCACTTGGCCTTGTTGAACATCATGAAATTGGCACACGCCAACCACTCAAGCCTCCCTAGGTCCCTCTGGATAGCATCCTTTACCTCTAGGGTGTCAACTATACCACTCAGCTTGGTGCTGTCTGCAAGGCTGCTAAGGGTGCGCTCAATTCCACTGTCCATGTCACCTATAAAGATGTTAAATAACACTGGTCCCAATACCAATCCCTGAGATCAACCCTGCAACACATACGTTACGAGTAATGACATACGCTGTCCAACCAAACATCCTTCAGAATTAGAAATTCATACTCATTGAAATTTCATAGTTTAGATATTGTACTGAAGGACATGGTTTAGAGGGAAATATTGGTGATAGGGTCTACCCTACTGTTATACTGGAGGACAGTGACCTGAGAGGTCCTTTCTAAACATGGTGATTCTATGATTCTATGAAATTTATACATGTAAATCTATATGCTGACATTTCATAATACTTACAAGGCTATCTTAGTGTCTGATAGAAAAATATTCAGCTGGGGATATTGATTTACAAGATTTCTCAGTGTAAATTACAAGATACGGTGTAAAATACAAGATAGAGGAATCACAATTGCCGCATCTGCACCATACAGTAATTGAAGTTGGAATGGACTACTGGAGGCCAGCTGGTCTAATGCAGCAGAGGCAAGTTGAAAGTTAAATCCAACTCCTGAGTTAAAGCAGGCCCATTCAAGTGCTGACCTTCTGCAAGGACTGAGATGACGCTGCCTCTCTAGGCACCAGTTCCAGTGTTTGACCATCTTCATTGTGTGTTCTGTTTTGATGTTATTAGAAAGCAAAGGCCCGTCTTGCAACTATCAGAAAGGGTAACTTCAGAAAGTTCAGAAAGGGTATCAGAAAGGGTAATTCTATCTCCACTGGATTAGCAAACTGATTCAACTCATTTTTCAACACAACAATGTCACATGTGCAATGTGGAAAGTGGCAAGGTCTCGCATCTTTTATCACTGGCAACCTGTTAGATAGGCTTAACCAGGACATCTGCCTGTATCTGCTCAAATCTAGCACACCCATATAAACAGGAGCTGACACTGGCACAAGCAGCTTCATTCTTTATCAGTTACTACAAGCTCTTGATCCGCTGTTGCCTTGTCTTTTTCACTGGCTCAAGCTTTTGTTCATTCATACACTGTAAAACAAATGGGGAAGCTGAGTTAAAGCCAACTTTTGTTTGGTTTTGGGGAAGGTTTTAGTTTGGATCTTGTCTCCAATGTAACTCGCTATACAGGTTAGCAACTCCTTGTCACAGTTGAAGAATGGAGCAGCACAGAGGCAGAGCCTCTTCATTCAGTGACAGACAGCTTTCAGTGTCTGTGCAACTGCATCCTCCTACTGAAACTGTAAACAAAAACGATTTTTGAAATGAATCATCTGTTATAATAACTGTTTTCCTTATGCTGTAGCTGACATCATTCAATTGTAACTCCTAGTACATCATAACAGATGAACAAACATGCAATTTCTGCAACTTAGTAATTAGACAGGCCCTTCTAACAGGGACTTCTTTTTCCTTTTATATTCTGGAACTCAAATTGCATCTACCATTTTTCTATAAATGACCCACTGACTGGGTCACAGAAGAATCTATCCTTGTATATATTCATTTAAGGAGTTCTCTTAAGCTAACACAGTTGCCAGTAAACAATGTCTTGCAAAGCCATGTCCTCTACTTGAAATTCCCTTTCTTAAAAAGTCTTCCACCCCAGTTGATTTCACAATATCCCATTTATATATTAAATGACTGTGAAGATGCACACTCTTCAGTGCATGTTTCTGGAAGTTATCATCATTTGGTCAGTGGTTTGAAGCAATTTTTTTTAATGACTGAGGAGTAAACAAGCCAAATCTGTATCTGGGGTAAGCGGATGAAACTTGGACTAAGTCATGAGAAGTCTGTGGCAGACCTAAACACAGAAAACAAAGTGTTTGATTCGCAGCCCTTTTGCTTCACTCTCTTTAATTTTCCTTCCTTTCTTTTTGCAGGCTGAACATAAGCTAAGGGATTAAACATTTTTAATATGTTAATAATTCTTCCCTCAGCTACAAGAACAAGTGGCAAACTGCACGGAAGCAGAAATGTTCTTGAGAGATTGTCAACAGCCCAGAGAACTGAACCCATATCTAACACACAGAAGCCAATGAGTTCCTGTGCATACGAAGAGCAGTCAAGAGGCAGTATAAAAATAAACAAGCAGTCCTTCACCTCACCTCCACCTCAGATTTTTGAAACCAGACTGCTACTACAATAGGCATATTCTAACCTTGCCTCCTGGGAAAAAAATAAAATGACACACTCTGAAATTTTCACCTGCTTCTTTTCCATGTAACCTGATATTTTCACCCATCCTTCTTGACAAATTTCTGCCTGTTGTTGACAATTGGGATAATACCAGACTGACAATTTTCTGACCACAACATTTGACAAGACAGGAAACTCATCAGAGTTAAGTCTTTTTTTCTCCTGGATGTTTTTACTGTGAGGTCAAAGTAATGATGTTAGGGATGTTATCCACTTAAAGGTTTATACGAACAAAAGCTTATAAATGAAGGTCATTGTGCTTTTCTTTCCCACACTAATGGCAAGCAATAATTAAGTCAGGTTGGGGTTTCTTTCTCCTCTTTAAGAATTCAAGAGTTTTTTCTTTATTTACTTCACAGTTTTGCCTATGTTTTCCTTTTTTGATGTAAGGCCCTTTTTATCTATTAAGAACATTTTAATGATTCCACACAGGACAAATCTGCATTTTTCAAAGGCAGTTGAATAACAATATCATTTAGCTTGAGTACTACTGCATCACACAAAATGCAGCTGGGAAATAGAGATAACATAAACAGCAATCTGTCAAATGCACAAGGCTTTGAGTATCAGCTAGTCTTAGGAATTGTGAAAGGTAGGCAGAAATACAATACGGATTAGGAAAAATGATGAAAACTCAAGAACTGCCAGAAAATTTCCTCTTCTTTTTACATCATAAAAATAAAACTATGCAAAATTGGCCTTCAATCCCACAGATTATTATTTACTTTCTATGTTCAAACTTTGAAATGAACTTTCTCACTGTGAGCTTACTTCATTATGTTGTCAGTTCAGTAATTGTGCATTTCATGTTTTAATTGACCCAAATTATATTTCACGTATCACAACTTTAAAGCATTTTATGGGTGCTGTTCTTTTTCATTAGATCCTTGGCACTGTTACAAACAGTAAGGAAAAAAAAAGTATAAAACGTATTTAAGGTTGATAATTTACTATAACGTTCTATCATTTAAGTGCTGAAGTAGTTAAAAGGAAGGATATGTATAGTCAAAGACCTCATACATTTTATGTTGCCTTCATAATAAACACAAATACATTTTAGTTCTGACTCATCATTGGTCACAAACAAAACATGAACAGATGAAGCTACACTTCAGATAATATAAATTGACATAGCTGCTTAAATGCTGGTTGAGCAACAATGATTTGTACCATCTGTGCTTACAGCCCATTACAAGCTGATTTCAATACCAGTACTCCAGCCTGCAGACAAGAGACTATCAGGGAGTAAGAGTTAAAGAAACAAGGTGAGAGGGGTGGTTATTATGATGATTATCTTAATTTTTTTTTTTTTAATTTATCCCTTCATTTATTTTTGTGATTTGCTATTTTTACATATTTTCTCCTTAGACATGCAGAAAAGTGAAAAATATTACTAGTGAGATTTCTCAGTTGTTGTAGATTTGTCTGAACTTGCTGTTTCTGTAAAACAGTATTTCATTATTCTGTTTCATGATGACAGTATTTTTTTTCTAAACAATATTTATTATGATCTCCAATTTCAAATGCATTTTTAACATGTAATCTTATTTCACACAGAAATAATCACAGAAATGGTTTAGTATCAAGATAGCCACCCTTTTTCTCTGTATAAGATTATTAAGATCAACCAATATTCCCTAAGCTTTATAAAGCTTGTCTATAGAATCAGGAATTACTATCTGTCTCCTTCTCACTGTTTCCTGTTGTCTATCTTATAGCTTGTCTAGTTGTTTTATTTTTTCCGTCATCTCAGATTGCAAACTAAGCCAACAAACTTTTGTCTAAGATCTTGATTTTACTAAATGTGTATGCTCAGGTAAACAAAAGTTACTCTTCCTTTGAGAGATGAAAAAGAGGAGAGGGAGAAGGATGAATCAGTAGTTAGGTTTGGAATTAAAGAAAACTTTGTTTACTTCTCCAATCTGCAACTGGCTTGTTATATTACCAAAAGGTAAAGGATCTGAGTAACTCATTCTTGTAAGCAGAAAACATGGTATAACAGCACTCCTCCGTTCCTCAGAAGGCTTACAAAAAATGAAGAGTGTTCAGAAACTATAAAGATAGGAATCATGTAAATTCCTATAGGGTAATGGATATAAGATTTATATAGTAAGGAGATAAGGGAAAGCATGCAGATGATACAGAGAACTCCAGTTTTTTCTACCATTGTACTTTCTGCAGTTCCTGTAGTTTTCCTTTCTTTTTCTGTCCCTCCACTGTCCTGCAGACAACAGGTGTATTGCTCTGTCTTACTCTGGAGACCAGCTCAAAACTATGCATCTCTTTTGAGCCCGGAGCTCTCTACTTGCATACTAACTCCAGCTTCTTTGACATGTTCTGACTCAGGCAGTCTTGGAGAATCTACAGGGAAGCAAAAGCATGAAAACTACCCATAGCAACAGAGCAGTGAGGCTGCTCTTACTTGAAATCTTCTGCAGGGGCGAAGTTTCTGAAGGTCTTTTGCAGGCATGGAAGAGAAAAATGGGGAGATGCAAATTGTTTCAATTCACTATTTTCCTCTAAGCAAGGCAACTCTGCACTCCATGTTTCTGATGCCCACGTTTTTCACTGCTCAAATTCCTCTTCTGTAGGTCTGTGGTCTCCAACTGATCACCGTTTGCAAACTCTCCTCTCTGCTGCTCTTTTCCTTACCCTAGATCCCACATCTTCTGTTTCTAATGGTTGCCATTCTCCTAATCCTCACTCCCATTGCTGCTCTCACGCAAATCTGCAGCTGCCATACCCTGTTCTGTATGCCAACAGAACTAGTGGTAGCTAAAAATGCTATGAATGTTTCAACGTAGGTATGTCGGCAACCCTTCTATTTTTAGATACCCTGAAGAGCTGTCTGTAGCAGATATGTCTGGTATAGCAGTCTGCTCTGAAAGCAGATTAGACCAAACTACCCAATGTCTCTGAAGCTGTGCATAAAAAGGTCATCACTTCACTTCCCATGTGCTGACTTGGGTTTCCCCTAACCCTTTTCAGCCAAAACAAACCAGTTCAGCTGACACCAACTATTTAAAGTGCTTAAGCTACTCTGGACGACTTCGACTGCGACAACTTTGGGAGCAGGTTGCATGAGTTGCTTGCAAGTAGGTAGGAGAGGTGGTAACCTTTAGCAGAAAATGGCTGTGACAGCTGCCATTGGGCAGCTGGCTGGGGATAGCAACCTCTTCAGCAGCCTCAGCCTGTGCGGGAAATGAGGGCCCATGCAGGGACATTAAAGCATGGTAAATTCTGTGCTTAAAATTTGATTCTTGCTTATTTCACAAGAGGCCCCTTTGGGAAGCCACTCCTTTCCAGTGTGCAGAAAACATGATGATGTTATTCAGACTGTCAATCCTCTTTCCCATGTTTAATCACAGATAACTGATTAACCAAATGAATTGCCACAAAATGAAAACAACAAAAATATTAGATGGAAAAGAAACAAGAAGTCAGACAAGCTGGCTTGTACACGTTAATAAATAGAAAGCTTTAAGGCGCATAACCTCCAGTTCTCAAAAGTAGACATCAATTTTCCCTCTCTGCTCCACAAACAACAGGGACAGCATGCAGCAGTTCGTTCTTGACAGAAGCCAAATATGAACTGCAGGACATTCATTGGGGTGTGTCAAAGTTCAAAAGCTATTATACAGTCTGTTGGATAGCCACTGTCCTATCTTTTGCCCTTGTTTCACCTCATGCTGACACTTCAAGTCTTTTTACCTTCTGAGCCTGATAAATAGACACTAGAAGTTACATTAACTCTTTCATCACTGCTTTGCAAAAAAAAAAAAAAAAAAAGGGGGGGGGGCAGAGAATGTGTGTTAATATATATTTTGTATATATATATATATATATAGTCAGACACTTAATAAAACTTGGGAAAGCTGGGGATGGAATGTCAGATGGGCAGCCCCACTCACAGATGGTTCAGGTGTGCATCTTCAATTGCTTATGGAACTACAGCCTGATCTGTGGTTTGTGAATGCATTTCAAGTCCTTTCCAGGAACCTGCTGGGCAAGCAGTTAAGGGGAAAGAAAAAAATTTCAATAAAAAAAATCTAGGCTGAAGTTAGACCAATATTCAAACGAATTACTGCTCCTACATGAGTGACCACCTGCTGGCTGAGGCATGCTAACTGCCAGCATGTGCATGTTTAGCCTGCTGCAGAGATGAGGCAAAGAGAGTGGCCCTTTACAAAGCAAGGGCAGATGCTGATGTGTTTGAGCCTGCCAGACTTCTTGTTTGTGTGCTACCTCAGCCTGCAAAAATTAATTGTAATTTAACAGTGGTTCAGTTGCACCTCTGACTATATTAGGAAAAGAAATACTGACTCTGTGTTGGAAAAGCTTTACCTTGCTGTCCAAGGTTTTTCTGTAAACATCCTTTTTAAGCTAGAAATTAAAGTATTCCAAAAGACCACAAGTACTTTTTCTGCTTACTGTTTTACAGTCAGAAAATTTTTCAGTTTCCCCATTATGAACATCCATAACATGTGATCAGGTTCAGATGATAAAAGGGAAGAGAGAATTCAAACATCTTTCTTCCTCAGCACATAACCCTTTCTGGTGCCACTGCTATTTATGAGGATAATGATACTAGGACTACTTGTTCTTGCACTCCTCTGTCTGAATGAGCTGGGTCACTGGCTCTCGCCTAGAGTTTCCCTGGCACATTCCCATCTCTCCTTCATAGAAATGAGTCACTTGTAGATCCATCAGCCACTAGTTAATGTGCGGGGGGCTACAAAAGGAATCTTTTGGGCTACTGGTTACTTGAGGCAAGAAGGCAAAGATGCTCTTTAGCTTCTTCAAGATAAATCCATACAAAATAGTAAATACATCTAGGCAAATTGCTTTGCCACAACTTCATTGCCTCTGATCTTTGTTTGATCAGTGTCTTATGCAGATAGGGCTTCACTTTGGACTTGTCTCTCTTCCACGCGTTCTGCACTCTTTTGGAGAGAATACTGCTGTTCAGTATGACTGCTAACAAGAGTTCCTCTTGAGAGACAGCTCATAACATTTTAATGCCAGACCCTTGTCGAGGCGGTTTTCAGTCAGTTCTTCCAGGACAAGGACCACCAGAACATAATTTATTTGGGACAATTCAAAATACCAACTACACAAAACATCTTCCTGAGAGTGATAAGCATTTGCCTTTCCAAAAGTGCTTCATTTGAAGAGACAGCCCCTGGAGCATAAGAATCTGTGAATTAATCTTCTTCCTCTTGATATCTTCCAAGAGTTTGTGGCACAGAGATGCAAAAGACTAACCAGAGCTTGAATTCCAAAGTGTAAGGTGTCTTACACACCCAGCAGAACTGACAGATGATTGTGATGAAGGTTGAGATATCTCTGGGTGTGGGAGGTCTGCAGAGCTCTTGGGTAGGACAGAGACCATCCAGCAGACCCCTGAATAGGATGCAAGAGTAGCTTGTTAGCTAGTAGTAGCCAGAATGTAAACACTAGACAAAGTAATTGTTTCTGTGTATCTTAGCTTAGACTTAATAGTCACTTTCCTCATGTTATTGGTTTCAGTGGTGCTTTTTTTAATCTTGAAGGTTACTTAAAGGGTGAAAGCCCTTAGAATGTCATGGAGCCAACAGTGCACAGCAAGCTACGCTACAGCAGAAGGACCTGAAGTCCTAACTTCTTAACTATGCTGTATCACACACAGCTTTACTTTTGGGCAAATGAAAACAGTCATCTGAAGCACCTCTGGCCAAGGAGGAAGGTGGAACCAGAGACCCTTCAGCCAGTGGGATTGTGCTTTGTGCAGCACCAGAGCCACAATGGCACAGTCCGCTTGACCGTGGGGCAGAGCTCTCTGAGGGCAGTCTTGGCTTGTGCCCATCTCTTTCACAGGCTCGGGCTCAGAGACGGGACTCAGGACTGCCACAGGGCCAGGGACGTTGGGGCACGAATCCATCCCTTCCCTCCCCGCCTCGGCGATGGAGCGGAGACCGCTGCTGCCCGGTCCGCAGGGCACGCGACTGTATACAGAGAGGGACGGAACGGTACGACGCGGATAAGGCGCTTCCATCCCGGCACGGCAGGGCGGGAGCGGCAGCGCGTTTGAATCGCTCGGCGGCCCTGGCTCCTCCCAGGGGGCCGACCCGGGCAGCTCGAGGGGGAGCTCGAAGTGAAGATCTTTTCGCTGTCCTCTCACCGCTCGTTAGGCTTCGTGGCAGGACTGTAGCCGAAGCTCTCCGGTTTCTGTGCGGCCGCGCAGCGAAGTCCGTTGTGCGCGGCCGCGGCTGTCCGGACTCTTGGCGAAGCTCCGCTCTCCCTCTTCGCCTCCCTCCCTCCCCTTCCTCCCCCCTCGGCTGAGTTCATTCACTGGGATTGGTTTCAAGTGACGCCATCGCTTTATTTTTACACCGATGACCTCATCCCAGCAGCCTGGAGTTTACTGACCAGCAAAACTCACTTATCTTTCCCTTCCTCATTCTCCTTCTCCCTGTTTGCTCTTCCCATTTATTAGTAATTGTTTGGTTCCTTTTGGGAACTGAAGACTTTGAAAAAATAAATAACCAAAAACGTCCAAACTTCCTCCCCCCACCGTCCCTTTTTAATTCTCTCAAGCCATCTAGGGAGGGAGGGAGAGAGGAAGAAGGGGAGGGGGGAGAGAAAAGCTCCCAGTATTTCCTTTTTCTCCCCTCCCATCTTCACACTTCCCCCTCCTAACAATTTACTTCTATTTATATATTTATTTTTAATGTCTGTTACTTTTTGCATGGAAGAAGGATGAATTTTGTATGGAAGAGGCGCTTCCCCAGCGTGTAGAAGGAGACGGAAAGTTGTTTCCTGGCGGCAGAGCGGTGAAAGGCCGGTACCAGCTCTCATCCCTGCCGCGGGCAGAGACCCGGGGCAGGCAGTCAGACAGACGGGAGCGGGGGGAGGTGCCACAGTAAGTGCCGGCAGAGGCCGCCGCCGGGACCCCGCCTGGGCCGGGGCTGGGGGCCGGGCTGGGCGGGGAGGAGGAGGAGGAGGAGGGAGGTGAGGGACGGCTCCCGCCGCCCGTCCTCCTCTGCCATGCCCTTCCTCGCCGCCCCCTCACCTCCGTAGGAGATTCTGCAGCCGGCAGGTCGCTGCCCCGCACCGGCAGCTCTGACCGCCTCCTCCCGGTAAGGAGAGGGGCTGAGAGGGAGCGGGGGGCGGCAGCTCTTCCCGGCCTGCGCAGCGCACCGCCCTGCTCACCTCCGAGAGGGCACGGCCACCTGCCTGTAGCGGGGGAGGCCAGCGGCCTCGGAGCGGAGAGGGCCGCGTAGGGGTGCGTGAGGGACCGCTGCCTTCCGTAGGGCTTTGCCGAGGGCGTCCGGGCGGCGCGTCGAAGAGCCTCGGTGCGCGCGGCCGCGTTTCGGAGCTCAGCAAGCAGTGCTGGCTCCGACGACGAGTTTCGCCGCTCAGAGAGGTCGAGGATGCTTTTACAACCCCGCGGGACTCCCAGAGAAATTGAAAGTTCTAAACTGAACTTGGGAAATATTTAAATTGAGTCCGTTGACAAAATGGAGGGCTGCTGTGGAATCAAAGAATGAGGCAAATTGTTAACCTGACAGTGCGGTCACATAAACCAGCAGCTCCGTGACCGGTGCTAGGACACAACCCGACGAATACCGTCCTCGGATCTTATTTTACTTCTTTTGTAGAAGTCCTAGGAGGGGAACATGAGCTCGGTGCACATGAGCGTGTGCAGAACAAGGTGTATCGGACGTGCCTGTGGCAAAGCCTGACTGGTGGTAGAGTTGTTCAGCGTCCAGATACGTTTTGTTAGATGTCAAGTAGAAAGGTGTTTTTGAGAAAGCAAAACCAAGGAAAATTGAGTTTACTGTTGTTACAGTTGGTTGAAATAGTACTCAATCTTTTGTTTTCCTTCAAGCAAAAGGTGAAGTCATAGTAAGCTGTATTGTCTGACCTGTGACTTTTTTTTGTTGTTCAAACATTCTGTGTATACCCAGCAGAATAAATAGATCTGTCTGCACTTTTTAAACTAAAAGTAGTTTGAAATATTTCTTCTAAGAATGTGCTTAGGGTGGGGGATGGGGGGGGGCAGGGGAGGAGGAGGGGTTCTTTCTGTAATTAAAAAAAAAAAAAAAAAAAATCCAAAGCACCAGAATAATTTTGTATTTGTTGCTTTAAGTTTTATGCTATTCCTGGCAGCATGTGGCTCGGTAGATGGAGAACTTACGAAATCACAACTGACCGAACAGGACTTGGTTTAGACTCTTGTGTTTTGAGGGAAGGTGGGAAAATAGTAAGTCTTAATTTCTTATTTGCGATGTTCATCTTGCTGCCCATTGGAAATTGAAGCATTGATCACAGTTGGTTATGTTGGTTGGCTGGGGGTTTCTATTTGAATGTGGAGGAAGTATGCAACAGGATGGTTGTGTATTTTTAGCTTTAGTTTTGAATCACTAAAGATATAAAGGATAGTGATATTCAAAAGTACATTGTGTAGTTACTGAGTATGCTGCTTAATATTGTTAGGAATGAATCTAATATGTTTGAGGGGTCATAAATTCTGGTCATTATACTTGTTTAATGCAGTAGTGCTTCAGTATATCTTAATACACAGTTTCCATGCTCCTTTTAAATGAATAAATAAGGAAAAGGAGCAGAGAAGGTGTACTAATTAGATGTGGAAGTCACAAAATGCTGTATGGTATAATGCATGTGTGAATGTCCACAAGGTCCTACTAAGCATTAAAAATCTCATCCTATGTTGTGTATAGATACATAAATACATCCCTGCTCCAGTTGGTTTTGTTTTGTTAGCTACCTATTACCTAAGCAGATAGGGTGAAACAGAATCAGTTTTAGTCACACCAGAACAACCTTTGTAGGAGAGAATGAGCTCAAGTTATTTTTGTTTCTGTAAAATGTATGCACTTCTTTTAGTGAAGTCAGCTAGCCTGGCAGAGATGTTTCTTTTAGCTAGACTAGCGTCAGTTGACCATAGGAAGGGTCATGGCTGTTGAGGAATGTGTTAATAAATAGATTTCTCCAGAAGCCTAGCCAGCACTCTCAAGATACTCTCAGGTATGAAATAGTCACCAGCTGTGGCTGGAGTCATGCGTACATCTCCATGTGCCCTGCTCCTTTTTGGCTATGTGGCCCTGTGCCTGCCTCTTCATGGCCAAAAGCTGCCAGTGTGGGGGAATGATACTGTAGAGAAATGCTGAAGACTGCGTAGTGGGAACTGATATGCTGCTCTGCTGTCTTCAAGAACTGTATGGGAGCTGCTCCAAAAGTGATGCCTCATTTTATTATATTGTCCCATGATGTTGGTGATGGATGTTGGTGGTATGGCAGCAGGGGCTGAACTTTCCCATCAGTATTCTGCTATGCTTTGTTGCAGTGCGACAAATGGCAGTGAAGGGGCTGTCTGACAAAATGGTGTCAGAGATGGAAATGCACATGAAGCCAAGGTGGGTCATTAAATTACACCATGTGGAAAAAATGGCACCCATTGACTTCATTGATGCTTGCTGACTGTTAATGGAAACCAAACAGTGGATGTCAGTGAGCCAGTGGGTGCTGCGTTTTAACAGTGGCACAAAGACAGTGGGTCATCTCTGCTAGTGTAGAGTTTTACAAGCACGGCGTGCAGGCTCTTGTTCATCACTTGTGAAAATGCATAGCTAGTGGTGGTGACTATGTGGAAAAATAGCTTTTTGTAGCTGAGATTTTGCTCTATCAAACAGTGTTATTGTGTTCTTTGTATTTGTTGTAGTTTCCGTAGAAATAAATAGAAGGCATTAGTTTCAGAGCAACCTACTATAATGGATCTGGTAGGCTTGATGGAGCCATTTGAGTGCAAACACAGGCTCTGTGCTATTTCTCTTGAGAAATGGTGGACTGGCAAATGAGTCACTGATTTTTGCTGCTTGCATTGATCTTCAGGAGGGCTCCATTCTCACGTGTTGTACAGCAAGAGCATTTTGCAGGGTGAGTGCCTTGCTTGGTCACATACAAGTTTTCAAAGTTCATCTCCTTTCTCTCTGTGCCAATTCAGGACTAACTGAAGTGTTTGCAAAACAACAAATTTTCCAAGAAATGCTGTAGGTACTCTCAAACTTTTTCCTCAAGGAAACCAAGTCATGATGACAGCTTTTATTTGTTAGTTTGCCTGTTGAATTTTCTAGGGCTATTTTTCTCCTTTCATGTAACAATGGCCAGGGAAGCATCATAGTCATTCTTGACATGCTGACCATCTTTCATAACCAGATTGTACAGAGTAGGTATTGTGAAAGGCCAAGGGGTGGAAGGAGGGGATTTGCCAGTCCATTTTTGTTCTTTTTTATTTTTATTTTTTAATATTTTCTTTTGTTTAACTTACTGGAATAAGTTTCTAGTTTTCTAATTATTTTCTCAGCTTAACAATAAATTTTGTGCAGTCTTGTATAATTTTGCCTGAGACTCTGTAACAGTATTCCCATGTTTTGTTTAAGAATTATTATCAAGGAGCTGGTTTTCCAAGTAACAGAGAAGTATCCCTGGTGCATCAAGTGATACATTCTCTCCCCATGATTCCTCACAGATTTCTTCCAGGCTTAGTGTAGTGATGTGGAGTTTCTGTAGAATATTTTAAGTACCAGTAACTGCAAATCAGTGTTCTAAATACCAATGTCAGTAACATTTTTGTGATTTACTTGGTGTCTCTCTTTGTAAACCAAGGGTAACACAGCACTCATAGGACAGTGGGTTGCCTGCGCACATGGTCTCTGCTTTCTGGACAAGTCAAAAGGCATAAGTGATAGGTGGCCTGGCAATGTGCATCAAGGCTGAGCTAAGGCCGGTGTTACTGGAGACCAGAAGCCCTTCATGTGAGGGAGAAGTGAGCAATGTAATTTCAGACTGCTTTCTAGAGGTTGAGTGCATTTTTTTTTTTCTTTTGTATCACTAGTAGAATAACATCACTGCCCTGCTGTGAAAGCTATGTGAGATAGAACTGTCTCTGGAGGCTGAGGAGGCAAGGCTATAAGTGGAGATGCCCAAACTCATACAGAGTTGCTGCTGGTCAAAGGATGCTAGCAGAACAGGAACACTCATGTTACTGCTACTCTCCTTGTCTTTATCACATTTTTAGATTGGTTCCCACTTGGTAGCTCCAAATAAGAAATTTCCGTTATAGTTGCTCTGTAGCTTTCTGTAACACCTGAAAGAAGCCAAAAATACACATTAATGGGAATGTTTGGCATCTTCTAGGTTTGTGCAGTTTTAATAGAACACTTCTTGGTTTATTTATGTACAGGGCCTGTTAGCAGCTATCAGTAGAGGTTATGTTGATCACATGTAAATTACAATTGCTCAGTGATCAAAGAAAACCTGCTTATAGTGTGTGTGTGGAGGGCAGGAGGGAACACAGGCATGAATTTGAGGCCTCACACTTCCTTTCTCTGCTCTATGTGGTCTGCTGCTGAACCAAGGCTGACCTACTCAGAGTTGGCTTTGAGAAGACTGGTGCCTTTCCATTTTGTGTCCCTATGAAATGCTTCTACAGACCAAAAAAAAAAAAAATAATAAAAAAAAAAATTGAATCAGGCAGGCTAGGGAAGAGAGGAGAGAGTGGTTCCTCACTGACAGGCTGCCCAGGTTCTTTCAGGGAAGTGAAAGAACCTGGACTGAGACAAACTTGGCCAAGATCATGCATTGTGGCTGCTCTGTTCTTGCACGGTGTGAGGTTGTAACATTGTGCTGCGTTGATGTACCAAAGGAACTGCTGAAACAAGGTCCTTTGCTGGGAGGAAGTTGGTTATCTCTGCTCCTTGTTTGTCACAATATGAGCCATGTGTAGGCAGCATGCAGCTTCTCCATGGTTTGTTCTTTTAACTGATTTTACCCTATGTAGTACAAGTTCTCGGAAATTGGGATCAGTTCTTGCACAGACCTCCTCGAATAAGTTTATACTCTCATTTTTTCTTAAGCTTCAGCTTGAAACTTCTGTAAGTTGTTCAGCAAACAAGATGCGCAAGTGGAGGTGTTCATTATTTCAGAATACACATAATCTTTCTTCTGTATGATTTGCCTATGTGCTGCTCAGAGTGGTAACTGCTTCCAGGGTGAAAATCTTTTAATTTTCTTCACTGAATGGCAGCAGTTCTGTTACACTTTTTCAGCAGAAAATCATGATAACAGATTTCCAATATTGAGACTAAAATAGCATCATTTTTCATTTTCATGAACTTCCCATGATTTTGCTTTACTATAATAATCTGTGGAATAAGCCTGTTGGACCAAATGACAGGCTTGTGGTTTGTGCAAATGCTCTTTTTTTAGAAATCCTTACCAGCTTGTCTTGATGTCTTTGTCTTACTAAAGCATGCGGGAGGTAAGAAGATGGGTTTGAATATGTAATGTAGCAACATTGGAATGAGAAATTTACAGAGAGCATAAAATGAGGTGGGCAACAGAGACTAATTGTATGAAATTCCTTTTATTTACATATTCTTGAATTTGGATAACTAGTATGTATTCAGCCTGCCGGATTAGAAGGCTTTGGCTCTGTAGATATAACAGAGATATCTCTCAAAATAGGAGAGCTAATCTCTCTCCCCAACAGTATTACAGATAAAACTGATTCATTACTGCATTTTGCTCGTATCGGGCTCCTAGTAAAGCATGTTTGAAGGCTGAATAATTCGGGATGTTAGAGGATAAACACTACACTTTTAATAGCCCAGGTGGTGTTTTTGCTTCTTGATTGCTTGTATGAGTAAGAATCATTCACTCTAGTCTTTAAAGATACAAATACCATGTCAGGACTTGGGTTTCTACTTGCGAGAGGTTCTTACAAGTGAATTACTTTCTTGATAGTGTGTATTTCGCTAGGCCTTATGTAGTCCTTTTAATATGGTAGTTATCCATCTTCTAAACACTCACTTCCAAATACATTCAAAGATCTGATAGGTTCTCACAGCTTGCCATCCCCCTTAATTTCAAACACTGAGAACATATTTGTTATTGAAATGGGTATAAGGTTGTTTTTCAGTCACTGTATTAATGCTATCTGGAGTAAGTATAGCACCTATCATCCTTACAGTTCCTACAGGTATTTGGTTATAGGTGAGAATGTGCCTTTAAGTTTTGGGATTTCATGCCGTCTTTCTTCAAAAATGTTGCTTGCGCATAGTGTTTTCTCTTGCTTTCTAGAATCTAAACTCAGAAGATCAGGAGGGAAGAGCTCTGGAATGGGAAGAAGCACTCTGATAAGTCTCTCTTGTAACCCCACTGTTCTTAGAAGTGCCTTTCTGAAATAAGAGCAAGCCGAATATGAACTTCATCTTGGTCTTAACAAGGATTTATAAAGCTGTGCTAGTTTTTGAGTAATGAATTAAGATCTTCTAGGAAAAAAGTACGTTGTTCACCCCAGTGCATTGGACTATTACTATTCAAACAAGTCTGTTAAAATGAATCTTGATTAGAGGACAAATGGTGTCACCACTTTCAGTAGGCTTCCTCTCCCAGACCCCTGGATACAAGAAGGATGGCTCCAAATCAAGGGCAGGCTGTGAAAGTGTCTCTTTCCATAGTCTATTCAGAGCTCTTTACTGATGTTGAGTCTCTTCTCACAGTAGCAGAACCAAGTACATTCTTCCTTTTGTACCAAACTAATCCTGAACCATTTTCAGTTCCTTAGGACCTTGCAAGTTCCATGTGGTGAGTTCTCTGAGGTCTTACTGGAGAGATATAATCAACAATAATTAGTCTCCAGGTTCATGACCTCATGTTTCAGAGAGACACATCAGCTGAAGGTAATCTTGGTGAGGGCTGATGAGTTCTGTGTTCTTCTAGGTGAGCGTGGGCATCCCTTGCCACTTTTTCTTACCGTTGTTTTTTTTTCTTTTTCTTTTTCTTCCCTTGAATGTAACTTTTCATCATTTTTTTTAGTTTCTTCTTGTCAGTGGAGTGAGCTCCCCTGCTCAACCCTTCTCAACACTTCTGTGGCATCACTGCTGAAGATCCCGCCTCTTTTCATGGATGACACATTGAGAGCACGCTGTCAGCCTACCAGTTCTGTTTTGCTTGTTAGGTGATCTGTGCTTGGATGCTGCCTAGTTGATGCATCCTGTTTCCTCACTATAGTTTACTTGGTGTGTTTGCTGTGATTTCCAGGTGGACATACTTGAAGATGTCTCAAAAAAATCTCTTCATTCACCCCAGACATGATTATATGAGTAGTTTGTAGTTTGTTGTTGTTGTTTTTGCCTGTTTCATAGAATATTGCTGAAAGAAAGTTAACTTCTTCAAGCATAAAATGGATGAGAAAGAATAGTAATATAGCAAGCAAGTTTCTGAGATACCAATCAGGACAGCTAAAAAAAAAAAAAAAAAAAAGAAAGTGTCAATTAACCTGCATTGTTGCAAGCTAAGATACTCTTCACTTGACAAGAACACATCTTTCTGCCCCTCGGTTATATAGGAGTGGAATCTTTGTTCCTGGCTGAGACTGGTGTGACTTGCCAGCTCACCTGCAGGTGTGACCTGTGCTGGAACGAGGAAGCGTGCAGTGTAATTCCCTGCTCTGCCTAATGTATGGTTAAATTGATAGAAAAACACTGAGGAGGCTTAGACATTCTATTCCTCTGACAGCCTTCTACAAATGCAAGCTATTAATGACCATTGCCTTTAATGGACAAAAACAGTACTGGCAATTCCTTTGTGCTCTTTATTTAATGGCGTAACAAGCAAGCACATTAGCTATTTTTATTCATACAGCCAGACATAGGCCAGTATGGCAGAGCAGCTATGAAATGTCTGCATAGCTAAGTGGGAACACATCTGCTGTTGAGAACTAAATCTTTTTCTTTTAGTTACAGTATTTTGAGAGAGTTCCACTAGTGATCGTCTGATCTCTCTATTTGACTGTGGTGTAGATTTTCAAGATTTTGCATTAAAATAGGCAGAACATTCTTTTCAGTCCCCGACTTTGTCAACTGTTTCAGTCAACAATGAAGATGTAATGCAATCAGAGATGTGGGTGGTGAAGGGAGAGCCTGTGCAGGTTAAAGGTTCGGTTCTTGTCCTTTCAGGAAGCTTCTTGACTATCTGTTCTGACGTGCTGCTTAGTGACAGGCGCACAGAAGGAGCCGAGTACAGCGACAGTGTTAGCAAATGCTAGTTGAGAGAGATGCAGTGTTTGTTTGGGGGGTTTTTTAAATGCTGCTGAGTTCTGAAATTATATTTTCATCTTTTCTTTTTTTTTTCCCCTCTGTTTCCTTTATCTATCTACTTTAGCAGAAAAATGTCTTCCATAGCTTGCCAGTTAGTGTGAAAAAATTAAGGTTCCTGATAATTTAAGTCTGAATATTTCAAAGCCGAGAGTAGGTTATGGATTGACTTGGGGGGTAGAGGAAGGTGAAGCTAAGCACTTCTTATTGTTTTGAGGTGTGTGCAAGGTGAACAAATAGTTATCCTCTGTACTGACATGTGATCATACAAAACAAAAAACTTCATGCCTGTGGCGGATGTTAGAGGTGCTAAGGAAAGAAAAAAACCCAGCAACATTAAATAAATAGATACTACTCTTTCCACAGTTAGAAATTTGTCTTATGCTGGAGTAGATACCTTGTTGTCACATATATCTTTACTTAATCAAATTATAAGGCATGCTTACAAAAATCTTGTTTATATCCACCAAGTTAAGATGTTTTTACTGAGTGCTTAATGTTTGTTCCCAGTGATAGTATTGTTTCTTGGTGCAGCCAAACATTTTTCCTAGTTATTTTCTTAGTTATCACTTATCTACCTGTTTTTTTCTTTTCTGTCTGTATTGTCAAAGTGTGCATGTGTAACTTCTTCCTTGGTAGGTCTCTCTCTTTTTCAGATGTCAGTTGTTGCACCAAAAAGCTCAGCTGGAGATGTGTACCTACTGGTATAAAACAGCGTTACTGTTTTGAAGGGGTGGATTGGGACACTTGTTGCAGAGATCATCTGCTTTGTAACGTTAAGGTAATGTAATTAAACACCACCATATAACCACCTCTCTCAGCTTCACCAGAAGCAGTAAAATAGGCTGATTTATTTTTAAACTTAATTCAAAGTGGAGTAACATCTGATGTATGCAGACAGAGCTGGGACCCTTCTGCTTTTACTGAAAATGCTGTTGAATTGCATCAGAGAAAAAATACTCAGGCTTATCACTTTCTGAAGCTGAAGTCTGAAGCAGTATGTTGAGTTGCAGTATCTCTGTGGTATCAGCATTTCTGTCATTGGAACTACTAGAGAAGGGAAACATGCATATGGAAAGGGGAATAATAGAAAAGAAGATATTGATCATATATTGAAAAAATGCACCACAGGGGCTAATAAAGGAAAAAAATGAAGAAAATGGAGGCAACAGAGATGAAAATCATTAAAAAAAAACCAACAAAACATCTGCATTGTATATGATGATGAGACTTTAAACTTACAGGAAAAGCACTTCTAATATGATAGGATAAGATCATTCCTTATCCTAATATTATAGGATAAGATCACTCCACTTTGGCTAGTAGTACTGAACTTGTTCTAGCACATAGTGGAAGAATTATTTTCTTTGTGTATGAGAAAGAACCCTTTGATAGAAGATGAATGACAAGGTTTAGGAAGTCTAGGGAAAAGTGTATGTTCCAGCGAGATCATGATAGTAAATACTATTTGTGTGTCTAGAGAGAAGTCTTCTAAAGATTTAAATGGTGTTGAGTTGTGTGGTTTGCTTTCCAGAGTCTGTATTTTAAATTTATAAGTCATGTAACTGAACATACATATTCAAAACTGTGAATGCTGGTTTGGAATATAAATAAGTGGTAGCTGCTGGGGTGTAATATTGCATGGGTTTGTGTATTGTTGCTTTATCACTAGTCATTTGTAAATATTTAAGAATGAGTTGATTTCAAAAGGTTGTATCATAGGTCACATTTTCTTGTTGGGAATTTGTAAGTTTCAGAGATGTAGTTCTCGAATAGAAAGCTCTTGAAAAGAAAGTCTTTCTTTGTGACTGGGAGGGTGGGAAGGAGTGGGGGAAATTCTGTCTACGCATTTCTGTTGTGAAACGACTTTTCTTCGTGCTGCTGGCGAATTAATGTTGGATTTTGTTTTTAATTAGATGTGTATATAGGCAGTAATTTTTGATGGAAAACAACCTTTTATTAGAACAAAAAAAAAAAGTTGGAAAACTTTGTATGCTTCTAAAATATGTCCAGTTCAAGAAGCTGATGTTCTCTAACTACGCTCTAGGTACAAATGTGCAAGCTTCCTCAGGTTTCTTAGTGTCTTCTAGCACTTTTGGGTTATTTGCTCCCATTGGTGTGAAAACTGTGCAATTACAAGCAGTAGGTGTCCCAGGGTGCTTTCATCTGAGTGCACAAAGTGGAGAAACAGTGGAAAGGTGGTTGTTGTCAAAGTATCTTTATGCAGCTGTGCAGGTGGAAAAGGTTACTGAGCTGAGCTGCTTGTCATAATCCCTCTGCCACTAGTTGCAGCCCTGAGTCTGTTGCTAGCGTAATTCTTGTGGCTGTTCGTACTTCTCTTGAGGCCAGGTCAGAGGATAAACTTGCAAGAAGACTGTTTTGCTTTACAAGCTAAACTGTTCAGGTTTTGCTTGAAGCAACCTACAAATCTGCTGTGCAGTCTTTGCCTCTAGATGGTCCTTCATGCTTATGGAAGACTTAAAATTTTGAATGCAATGAGAAGTTTTAGAGGAAAGTGTCTGCATAAACATGCACACATACACACACACACACACACACACACACACATATATATATACACATACACACCCTGTTCAGAACAGCTCATGTTCTATAAAGCTTTCAGTGATTCTTGATATTTTATACAGTGAGAACAGCAGTGAATAAGCTACTGAAGAGAAGCACTCCTACAGGCATGCTTTCCTGAGCTATGTCATTGTATAACAAATCTAGGAGATCCAGATGCACGGTTTTCATGGAATGCTGACCATGTAGCTTTACTGGTTGTAGCTATCTGAAATTGGCAGATAGATTTTGCACATTACAGAGCTTTTAGTGCATCTAATTGAGTAGGCTTTTCATTTCTGATCATTAACTGCTCTTCAGAAGGAAATTGGCATGAAAGCCTAATCCCTTTCTACTCAAAACTTGAAAGCATTTTATTTGATACCATACTTATTTGCTATAATGAAAGAAAAAAATTAAAAGCAAAAACAAAAAAATGGCTAGTAATGCTTATTTCTACTTGTCTTATTTCTTTTCCTTTTTTCCCTCATTTTAGTAATTTAAACAGTACCAGAGTTGTCACATGGAGCTCTGATTTTCCCCACTTGTTGTTTTCTTATGTCATCTCTGCCACCTGCTTGAGAAGAGGTATTGATTACACTTAGAACTCATTTTAGTGTTTCCATTCCTGTTAAGGTGGTGTTTCTGACTTTTTAATGATAACACTGTATTTTTTTTTAATATACTTTTCTCAACTTGTGTGTTTCGTTATTGGGGTTTTTTGTTGTTGTTGTTTGTTTTTTGTTTTTTTTTGTTTGTTTTTGTTTTGAGTGCTTTTTACATTTACTTTGAGTATAGTGTAACAGAATCATCTTTATGAAGTTGTGTCAAAACTGACAAGATTCTGCGGGCCAGAGCTCCTCTTGATGTATGGCTGCTTGCATTGCTATATTGCAAGGGTAACATGCTGTCTCTAATCTTGTTTGTGGTAATGTTTTGTCAGCCAAGGACTTTTCTTCATCCAGGGAAGAGACTTTAAAAAAAAAAAAAAAAAAAAAAAATTTCAGACCATGCAGACTGAGTTTTATTAACATACAGCAAAGTTAGCTGGGTTTGTACAAACAACGTAACTGTAGTGGCCTTCTGCTGTCACATCCATGCAACCAAGTGCAAAGCTCTAGAATTAATATAAAAAATGCTTAATTTCCAATAACTTCATCCAGTATCATTTTTATCAACATAGACTTTTTCACAGAATCACAGAATGGCCAGGGTTGGAAGGGACCTCAAGGATCATGAATCTCCAACCCCCTGCCACATGCAGGGCCACCAACCTCTATATTCAGTACTAGACCAGGCTGCCCAGGGCCCCATCCAATCTGGCCTTGAACACCTCCAGGGACGGGGCATCCACAACCTCTCTGGACAGCCTGTTCCAGCACCTCACCACTCTCTCTGTAAAGAACTTCCCCTTGACATCCAACCAAAATTTACCCTCCCTCAACTTAAAACCATTTCCCCTTGACCTGTGGTTATCAACCCTTTCAAAGAGTTGATTCCCCTCCTGTTTGTAGGCTCCCTTTAGGCACTGAAAGGCTGCAATGAGGTCACCCCGCAGCCTTCTTTTCTCCAACTCCCAAGCCAGCTTCCCCAGCCTTTCTTTGTAGGGGAGGTGCTCCCCTGATCATCTTTGTGGCTCTCCTTTGGACCCTGTCCAACAGCTCTGTTTTTTCCCCTTCTTTACTATTGCTCTTAATTTCTTCCATCTTTTCAGTGGTGAGAAATGGGTACGTGTATCTAAATGTTATATTATGTTTTTCCTATATTTCCAAGTATTTGGAACATTTTGCTATAGACAACTACAAAATAGACTTTCTAGTAAGTCTACATAGGGTTCCTTTTAAGCAGTTGAGTTGGTGTGCTCCAAGATGTATGGGTAAATTTATTGGTGGCTTCAGGTGAGATGGAGAAAAGTGATTCTGTGTCTTCCTCCATTTCTTACACTGTGCTCATTTATGCCTATCTTGAAGTTATCCATGTATTCTCTGTGGCTACTTTATAATCAATTGTCCTAATACTGAAAATCAGTAACTTTATTATGATGATTAATTTAATATTCATTAAAGGAGAAATTAAATATGTTTCTACAAACATTGCATACCTATTCTGATACAGTTCACTTGAATAAGAATGATAGATTTCTGTTATCTGCTCGGCCATTACATTCTTTAATTTCCTCATGAATCTTAGAGACACGGTGACTTACTGTTAATTAATCATTTTTATCTTCTCTTCATTAGACATGTCAGCCCTGGCAGTAGATAATCTTAGTTTATCTCAAACTTATCGTTTTCCAGCATCCGGTGTGGGAAGGACTCTTGCAAAGAAATCTATTTTTGCCTTTTCAGCTATTATTATCATCTAATCTTAGTACTGAATTTAATTGCACCCTTACATTTTGTGCGCCAGCTCTTAAGTTTTTAATTATTATTTTAATACATTTTCCAATCTGATACTCTTTGTTTTCCTAAGGATTTTTTTTTTTTTTTTTTTTTTTTTTTTTTAAATCTATTGGCACTTTCTCTATTTTCTGTTTCTTTACAATTTACTTTTTTGTCTGGGATATGCTTATTTGGCCTGTGTAACGTCATGAAAATGTTACCATTTAGGCATAACGGCTCTTTTCTTCCCTGGTTTCCTGTGTCCTTGCCTTGTGAATTGGTAGATATAACTTCTGTAACTTCAGACTCAGCTGGGAGCTAAGCATGCAGCTTCTAATTTCCTCTTTTCTTGAATTGAGGATCTTGTGTACTGACAGTGTTTTAATCCCCATTTCTGAAACTTAACAACATGGTACTTGTTTTGACAGGATTTCTTCCACGAGTGTGGTGAACTCATCTACATTATGGCCACTGTTGTGTTTAGCGATGAACTAACAAATGATAAGCTGGCTTTCTGATTTGGAACTAAGATTGCTGTAGGATGAGTAGAGGGAAAGCTTGGTTTCTTATTTCCAGATGTAGAAAACACGAGGAATCCAAAATGTCCCTTGTCATATCTTGTCATGTTTCAAAGAGTAAATTAAAATGTAGAATCCTTTGGTCAAATCAGATTCCTCTTGCAATTGGTGTGGTATTTCCCTTACTTCCATCTCTAAGCAGCAGTAACTGCACTCTTCCCCCTTTTCCACATTAACTCTGTGATTCCTGTTTGGTTTCTGAGATTTTTCTGGATTAAAAATTCTTAGTGATTTCTTCCTTCTTTCTTTTGTTCTTC